ACACGGTGCGCCTCTTGCTAAGAGTCAGGGGCCTGGGGCAGGGTAGACGCAATCGCCGGCGCTCTGAATTGGAAAAGTGCTCCATGGTCTGGGCTCTTGGGGGCTCAGGGGTGGCTGTGGCCCCTGGGCTAGAATGTCAGACCCTTCGGGATTACAACCCAAGGCCTGCCTTTCCTTCCTTCTTTCCTTCCTTCCTTCTTTCTTTCCTTCCTTCTTTCCTCTTTCCCTCCCTCCCCCAGTCCCTCCCTCCCTCCACCACTCCGTCCCTCCCTCTCCTACCCTCCTTCTCTTCTTTCCTCCTTCTTTCAATATGGGACGGAAAACCATATGACCATCTACTACAAAAATGGGCATTTTGTTGTTAGAACATTTAATTACTTTAAAACCCTGCAAGATAGATATAATTATTTCTATTTTATAGATGAGAAAACTGAAATTCAGAATGTGTGTTTTGCTCAAGGTCACACAGTTATTAAAGCAAGTTGCTGGGTTCTATACTAGTTTTTTTGGGCTGAACAGGCCTTGCCCCTTCCTGCACAGGCCACCTCCCTGGGCTGACACGGTCTCAGAACAAGCTTGTCAGGGCTTATCACCAAGCTGAAGCCTGTGTAGCAAACAGCAGGCACAGCAGAATGTTTTGGGGGACAATCTGCATGCAGCTCAGTCCTGTGCTTCCTGCTCCTCTGGCTGGCTGCGCCTTAACCCAGCTCGCCGAACATCAAACATTGGCCTGCAGGGTCTGTGCCACTCAGAGAGCCCAATGGGCAGCTGGGCTCAGTGCTCTCAGGTCTCTCCATAAAATTTCCAAGGCTGTTTGCCCCACAGATAGCTAGGTGACCCCTGGATGGCCCCTTCTCTTTTCAGGACCTCTGGTTTCTTAAATGTAAGCTGAGAGAGTTGGGGTCCATTCTTTTATGACAGAATGGATCCCTGTTTTCAGAAAGTAGAAAGCAGATAAGACTGCCTGGTTTTAAGAATCCTTAATTTCTTGTTGTCCCTAAGGCAGAACTGGGGGCATGAAGGTTACTCCCAACCTCTCTATGCCTCTGGTCCCCACCACACAGGAGAGGTGTGCCTTCTGGTCCCATCCTTTCCTATAGATCTCACAGATCTACTCCAAGAAGCAGGGCCAGCCCTATGGAGGCTGCTGGACCAACAAGGCATGGTCACTACCAGCTTAGCTCCACAGAGTGGGAGTACTGCAGGGCTCCTGAGCCTGACCAAGCAGCTTCCTGGCCCCGACACCCTCCCTGGCCCAGTGGTTCTGGTGCTCCAAGCCTCCATTGAGGGAAGAGCTTATTCATGGGCGGACTTTCTTGGGTCTGACCCAGTTTCCTGACCCATTCTCTACTGCCCCACTGACTGCAAGAAGCCCTGGTCTGCCCCTGATTTCCACCCACCGCTAGGGGGCTTTTAGAAACCTGGAGCTCCAGCCTCCCTTAGTGGGAGAGCCAGGCAAGGGCAGGAGGGCACCTAACCTCAGGTGAAATATCCTGAGCTTCATGCCCACCCAAACTGGGGATGTGGGGGCAGTGAACTCTTTAATTATGTAAAGGGGAAGCAGGCCCAAGACACCCTCTGGAGTAGAGAGTGAGGCCATTCCAGAAAATACCCTAGTTCCCCCCCACCTTTCCACAGTTCCTTGGTGCATATATTGCACTGGCAAAGATTTTTCCCACACCCCCCTGAGAACAGGACACCTTACCCCCTTCAACCCAAGTATTTTGGCCGGGCAGTCTTAGGGCACAGGGCTGACCAAGAATTTGTGTGTAAATGTGAGGAGAGGGGTTCATATTGTCAGTGATGAGTGTGAGGGTGTTCACATGCATACAAGCACATACACACTCCTCATTCAATACCATGTGTAGCAACTCATTACCCAGGACATGCAGAAACTGGCAGGGTATTTGCACCAAACTCTAAGTTGTATTTATAGTATACCCTGACAAACATAAATACATACATCCACATGGTCCAGCCATGTAGACCAGACCATATATGCTAAGGCATAATTGCTATGTATCAGGAACTCTCTCAAATACTTTTGCTCTCACTTAGGGAATTCCTTAAATCGTCTTCTCTAGTAGAAACTAGAACGTGCAAAGGAGAGGAGAGAAAGGAAATGAGAGATGAAGAAAGTCAGTGATTGCCTCAAACTTTTAGCACTGGGGGAAATGACCAAACTATAGAGTTATGGAGAAACCTCTAGGGCTGGAATTGGAGACAGATGTCTTCCTGTGGACATCCATTGGGAAGTGGGGGTATAATCTGTCTCCCTTCTCTGTGTGGGATCTCTCCTCCCATCCCTGTGTAGAGCAGGAATCCTTTACCGATTCTTTCATTTCATCCTCCATACTTGGTGAGACTGCCACTCAGCTTTGGGTGCTTCTTGCCTTTCAGCTCTTGGGGACAGAGAGAGGCTGTCCTCCAGTGCTGGCCTGGGCCAACTTCCCCTACCTCCCTGAAGCCTCTGCCCTGGAGACTTTCCTCTTTTGCTTTCTCTGCTTGGGATAGCAGTTAGGGGGTGCCAAGGACCAACCTTACAACAGACAGCCTCAACCAGCTCAAGCAAAGGCTCTATATGTATTTTTTGTTATCATTCAGCAAGCCAGGATTATATACCAAGGACGTAAGCACACACATTACCAATGACTTATGAATGCAACACACACTGTAGTCCCAGTAAGCATTCCTTGAGTATCAGGCATATGGTTATTACAATGCCCAAGATATGTGCCCTCTCCGAAGGCGAATGACAGACATACACACCTCCCATCCTGTCGCCTGGACACGACTTGCACTGTCCACACATATTTGCAGCAGGCGTAGACTACACAGCTGCCCATGAGAGACATGTTCACACCACAGAAAGCACAGACAGACACATGCACAGCAGTCCACTTTCTTTTCCACAACTCCTCATAGTCAGACAATGGTGCAGTGGCTCACTAGAAGCACCCAGACGCTAGGCCTGACCAGTCTCTTGGGCTTCCCACTCCAGCTGACCCTCCCTCTCCAGCCTGCTCCTTCCCGCTCCCGTGGCATTGGCTGGCTCCAGTGGAGGTCGCAGGGTGATGCTCCTCAGAACAGCCTGGGCTTCATCCTCCACCTTCTAGCCTCCCCAGGGATACCCAAGGGAGGAAAAGTGTCCCGAGTCAGAGCCACTTCCCCTTGGGCACAACTACACATAACAGGGATCCCACCCTCATGATCCCACAGCATGACCACTAGTGTAGGATGAAGTGGGAGGCCTGCAGCCTTGGTCCCTGTCACCAGCTGGCCCTGACCTGCTGGTCAGCCTGGACCTGTGGCTCCTCCTGTCCAGGCCAAGTGGGGGCAGAGAGGGACACATGGCTGGAGTGGGGTCCAGCCCAAGCTGCACCGCAGTGGAGGGAAGAGCTGGCTGATACCTGTCATTTCATCAACAGACTGAAGGCCAACCACCCCTAATACCCTTAATACCGGGGGCCGCAACATGATCAAATACCCGTGTGCCTGCGAGGAAGCACCGGTCTGAATTCGTTATTGGGAGAGTCTCAGTAGAAGAAAAGAAGGGAAAGAAAATAGATTTCTACAGCCACGCAGTATGTTCATTCCTCTCTGATACTCCTAAATCTCTTACACATAAGTCAAGGTAAATGAATTCTGATTATTAAAAAATAATAAGGCAATCAATGTAAGTCGCTCCTTACATTTGTGTAGAGGTTTGCAGCCTATAGAACATTTCCCCAAACAGGATTTTTATCTATTTGGAATAAACTCTCCTGGTTAGTATATTTGTCTGGAAAAATAGAAACGTATGAGTTCAATATAATGAACACACAGTCCATACACCTAGTACGACTGCATAAGAGGTAAAATACAGACTTGAATAGGTGCAAAAATCCAACAAATCCTACCTACGCCCAGCGCTTGTGAACGAACTGCGACTGATAAAGTCTCTTTGATGATGTTAAATAGCCACTACAGACCAGCGATGACACAGAAAACAAACAATCCCCCGGAAAACAGAGCAGCAACAACAACCACAAACGCCCTCCACTCGGGCTGCCCTCAGCCCTTATTTATCTGAAAAAGGATAAAACTTGGCTGGAAATCTCCCTCTTGTAACCAGCTGCTGAACAAACTTAGGCGAGGCAGAAATGATGTAAGTCCGTGTTAAAAGAAAGAACAAAAAATTTATTTGGGAATTGACAAGACGATAACAACAAACAAACAAACAAAACAACAAAAGTGCTCTAGTTCTTTCTAGAAAATTTGGTCCTCCAAACGACACACTACAGAACAACCAGGTCTAGGGTTTTCGGGCCAGCCGGCTCCGGGCCACAAGCCCGCCTGGTCCGGCTGCTGCCGCCTGGTCCGACTGCCGCCAGGTTTCGCATTTCTCCTGCCCAAGGTGGGAGAAGTAAGACGTTTGCAAAACAAAAATCAGAGAGAGGACGAGCCGTCCCTGCAGCGTCCGCCAGGCAGGCAATGATCTCCCGGCACTCTGGACTTGCATCGGAAGATCCGGGGAAATTTGTTTTTGATTTGTTTTTAGACAGATGGGGGGGAACCTCCCCAAATTCGTAAAGGAAACCAACTTTTACTGAGCATATTCTCCTACCTCTCTGAACATAGCTTTTTGAAGGCCCGACAGGAATTCTACTTCAAATCTCCTGGAAGAGATTTTCATGTTTTGCTTTAGCAAACTCCAAGGCCACAATACTTCGCCGGTTTTCCCGGTTAGTTTTTTTTTTTTTCTTAAAAAAATATTTTAAAACGTTATCTAAAACAGCCCTCCCGATCTTTTGGGCGAAACATTAGCCAGCCGCCGCGGGCCTGGAGGTGCCCGAAGCGCCGAGACGGAGAGCGGAGGACACGCAGCCTGTCTCGGAGCGGGGATGTGCTGTAAACCCTAGCGCAGGCCGCCAAGCGAGGCAGCCGTGCTCCCCGCTCGGGCCCAACCCCCGCCCCATCCAGTGGGCCCCGGCAAGCGGCTTCTGAACCGCTCCAAGAGCCTACGTGGAGCAAACACACGTTCGTCCCTTTCTCGGGCGGCGCGGGTCTCGTTGCCCGCCCGGACCGGCGCTTCCAGCCAAGGATTGCGCGGCAGCCCGGCGGGGAAAGCCAGCCGAGCGCGAGCGCACCGACCTGTGTGAGAAGGCCAAGAGGTCTGCACCGCCGACGCCCGGCTGCACCTCGGCCCCGGCACTTCCTCTCCGCTTTGAATTTTGGCATGGGGTGTCCAGCCCGGACGCCGGGGCACCGGGAGGAGACGAGGCCTGCA